TTCAGCTGCTGGCTCTTGGCTTTGGGCTGGCTGTTCTGCTGCTGGTTCCTGGCTTTGAGCTGGCTCTTCAGCTGGTGCTGGTTCTTCAGCTGAAGCTGGCTGTTCAGCTGATGCTGGCTCCTCTACCTTTGATGGATCATCGTTCTGAAGCTGTTCATCTTTTGATGGCATCTCAGGTTTASTACCTGCTAGCTTATCCTTCTCTTCTTGTTGCAAYTTGAAGAGCAATTTGAGTAGAGCTTCGGCAACTTCCTCAGGTACTTTAACGTGGGCCTCGGCCTTCATGTGAGCATCAATGACAATTGGTGGCAGCTTCCTCTTGTGGTCCTGTGGCTTTTGAGCAACAACTTCTCCTGATCCTGATCCTGATTCAGATGAAGCAGCAGGAGACGAAGAAGAAGAAGAAGAGGACACGGGCAATGCTACGGCCGAGTGGACCAGCAGGTAGGCGCAAAGCACAGCGGCAACGGTGAAAGTGGCTTTCATTTTGTTAGCTTGTTACAATTAACTTGACTGATTGACTATTCTTTGGACAGAGTTATTTATACTCAACCAGACCAGTGGTACAATTCTAACAGTCAAATGCCTTTTATCAATGTAATTCAATTAACACTTGGAAAGTTTAGTTAATTGCAAGTCGAGTATCTTTTATCGGTGTGCTTGGTGGGAAAAGCCTTCCGCTGCTATCTGAAGTTGTTTGCTATTTCTTTATTATGCAATCTCTAGTATGCTATRTGCTGTGTAATATCTAGTGCCTATTGACTCTCGCAAGCGTTTACTTTGTTACGTGCATAAACAATTTATTGGCGCAGTAAGTTTTTGAATGATGACTCATAGCTTTAAGTGGTAARAGTGCTCGAATATGCTTATGATATACACACAAATAAATATCTATGAGTACTTTCATCTATTTGTGATAATAATTCATCTGTATATATGTATGTCGCAGTTATTGCACTTCCTTGTTATTGCCAGAGTGAAGACTTAGATTAGTTATACCCTTGAATATTGTTATCTTTGCTATCAAGGGCTGCATCCTGTCTCATAATGACCATTCAGATCTCAATTACTGCATAAAAACTATAATATTTTTGCGTGGTAATTTTCTGCTTATTTTAGGAGGCCACCCCACCCTCCTTAAATAGTGAATTGTAAAGGGGGTACTGAAAATATTTTCATTCATTACACTCTTTCTGTTTGAGTTTGGTTTCCTTAGATTTGTAGAAAGCTTTTGTTAGCGAAATTTGTATTGACATTCGTAATTTTTTTAAATTTGAAGTCTGATCTTCTTCTGATGGTAAACCTTATCCTGCCAAAACCAAAAATAAAATAAAGCTTAACTTCACCTTACCTCGGTACCCAACGCAATGTATTGCTATGAATAATTGAAACGAAGGTTAATATTCCACCTTAAGCTCCCGAATTTTAAATCAAAAAAGTAAGAAAGRGCTAAGTTCGGTTGTAACCGAATGTTTTATGCTCTTGCAACTTGCCACGATCACTGCTGAGAAAAATTATTTTCAAATTTCAATATTATTTCTGATATGTTGACCTATATTTTGGGTAAAAAGTAAAAGGCTATAGGAACTGAAGTCCAAATGTCGTTCAATGCGTGAGCTTCACAAGCAACTTTTATAAAATTGAACTTAAATGTGTTGTCAAGTATACTTCCTCCAATAAGGTCTATACAATTATTTTCGGCATTCCACCTGAAAAAAAGTATGGCACTTTAATAAAATGTACAAGTTTTCCTAAAATTATGTGTTTGCCGGTGAACATGGATGAAATTGGTCTAGACTTGGTCTAAACCTTAATAAATGCTTAATAACGGGTGATCCAAGTAAGACGTACTTTTTTCAATAGCTTTTTTTTTGACAGATCATGCGCTAGTCGTGTCAAGTCATGTTATTTATTTCAGTATTGTTTAGCATTTCATCATGAAAAGACTTACGCCTGAACAACGTTTACAAATCGCTTAAATTTATTATGAAAATTCACGTTCTGTAAAGAGTGCGTATTGAGTTTTTCGCTGAACTAATGGTYAAAATAATCGGCCTACTGAGCCTACTATTCGCAACTTTCTCACTCTCCTTGAGCTTTCATTATTGGACAATATTCGAACGAATTGGCCACATCCAGCTCGAAGGGAAGAAAATACAGCAGCCGTAGCTGAAAGAGTACACGAAGACCGTAGRGAGTCGATTCGGCGGCGTTCACAGCAACTCGGACTGACATATGGAACGACTTGGCGCATTTTACKTCAAGATCTTAAATTGAAAGCGTACTAAGTACAGCTTGTGCCAGTACTGAAGCCGCTTAAGCCGATCGATTGGCCACTAAGATCGTGTGAGATCACATTGTTRGACCTTTTCCTGTGGAGATTTGTAAAGTGTAAAGTCTATGCKGGCAATCTYGCTTCGATTCAGGCCTTGGAGCGAGAAATCACGTCAAAAACATGTCGAAATGCTCGAACGAGTCTTCAAAAATTGGACTCAAYGAAWGGTYCATCTGATTTGTAGTCGTGGTCGTTATTTCGTAGCAGGAAACCTCGAAATGGATCACCATTTGTAATGAGTTTTGATCGTAGTTGGAATAGTATAAAATGTTCGCTAACACCAGAACACCAGATTCTGAAGAAAAGTTTTTCGATAACGCAACAGCATCTGAGTTCTTTGTTCGACGAGTAACTGGACGCATATCCAAATATGTATGTATCTACATATGCTGGTTTTGATAGCTTTATGCACATTGATGAACAGCTACTTATAGCACCCACTTCAGTATTAGTCTTCTACAGAGGCACCTACAAAGCCTAATCGATCCGTAGTCCAGTCTTAAACGAGATTTAAATTTTTTAGGAAGATATCTTAGTAAAAGATGTCAAATTCCATATTTTAATATATTCATATCTATAACCAATTGAATATWGCTTCTGATCAAAGATGWGTCGAACCGACAAAAAAAAWWTWWTTTCAATTTTTTTATCACAAATCTATAACAAGGCTGTCAACATTGTCTTATCACCAGTATTGATGCGTTCGATGAATTCATTTAAGTGGCCATTTAAGTGGCCAAGTACCTCTTTTGCGACTTCTCTGCGAAGTCKTTTACATTCAAGTATTTKGCTTCGTACCCAAAACATTAACCAGACTGTGTTGAGTCGAACCATAAGAGATGTTAAGATCCTCTGTTATATCTCTGATGCCAACACTTAGACTTTCAGGTTTCTTTAACTTTTTTGTTAACACGCTTATTAAATATGGATATCAAACTTCACACGAAACTAAACTAAGGTTACAAAAATCTAGAAAAAAAAAAAATTAATCTGGTTTACTACGGATGATTTACTCACAGAAACGAATAGGATAATTGATAATTGAAATTCATGCACTTATGGCTGATATTGGCTCGCATTTATTAATTCAATATATAATACAGTTCTCAGTTGCAGCTTCTKACTCGAATAGGTACATTGTTTACAMTCGTTTTTGCACGCCTCCGTATAKGGACAGCTCCCTTAGCCGGACAGAAACACGGCGACATTATTATACATTATCCGCATGTACCATATATTTGTTTCTTTGTGCTTCAAAAATTTCACTGTAGAGGGTGCCCCGTAAAGAATTATCCGAGTCAAAAACCATATGTATACAGTGTGTCAGTTTCGAAAACGCACACGCAAATTTCAATTACATCCATATTTAAAATACTAATGAGTAGAGAAMCATGGGGAAACACATGGACACTGCGAACATTACGTTACCTATTTAGTGATATATGATAGCTGATATTCACACAACATTCTGTGACATGGAATAAAACTTGTTTTGTTTAGAACGGATGATGTACCGAGTAGTAATATTTATACAAAGCTCAGTAGAATATTGCAATTATTCATATATGACCGATAGGTCCAATAATTTTTCTTTGACTAAGATCGTCAATGTCTCTATACACAGTCCGAAACATTGATAATTTTAATGRTAATAATTTCCTTTTTATGTTTACCTGTTTTAAAATAACCTTTATGTAGGATATAACGAAACAAACTCAATAAGTTCCTTTCATGAGCTCTTGAGCTGGAAAGTAGTACATATGGTACATAATAGAATTTCTTTAACTCAGACTAATCCCATAGATAAAGAGATAAGTAAATAGTTAAAATCATCCACAACTGAATTTTGCTAGGTTGGTAGGACTGTCCTTAATTACTATACCCAATATGATCAAGATCTGTCGACCAGTTTGTTTACAGCAGCCGCTAAAGTCGGTGCGTTGCGATTTTTGCAACGGACAAAAATATCGAACAAAGAATTTGTCTAATTTTTCTATTTCTAATCAAAATTTCGTGTGCGGGTTCATTGCGAAAATTGGAAAAGGATTACGGTGATTCTGTTTTATCGAAATTACAAGCCTAGGAGTGGTAAACAGTCTTCAAAGACGGACGAGATATCATTCTGGACGACCATCCCCCACCTCAACTAATGTAAATATTAGAAAAACATTTTGAGTAAGGAACGCTCGACTCATTGGATAAAGTTGTTTTTTTTTTTTAAAGAGTCCCGTAAACAGATCTTTTTGGACATCCGTGATTGTGTGAATTCCGATTCCACATTCATGAATAGCATTATAAATACCGACGAGACATGGGCTTATAAGTTTGACACGTAAACAAGTCAACAAACCTCGGGAGGAAGGGAGGAAAATAACAACTCGCGAAATTTACACCATATTAATGCACCATCGCAGCGAGGCATTATTGTGGCCGAATTTAAAGCCAAAAATGAATACCATCGACAACCACCGTAATCACCAGATTTGGCGTCGTGTGATTTTTTCTTGTTCCCCAAACTGAAAAGAACTAGAAGGAGATATAACAATTGCAGGCGAAGAAATAAATATTGATAAATAATTAAATACTTTTCGTTTTATTTACATTTACCGTGTAMTTTTTTGTCTGAGTGTATAAATAAAAAATGTAAAAGAAAATACTGCAATGCATAAGCCAAGCATAATGCCATCTACGCCCATTTCACACTGGGTAAGTACAATTTCTTCCCCCTTACTCGAAATTCCACTACCAAAACGTTCCACAACAAAAGGCAGCAACACTGTTCTCGYATTTTTGTGTTTCATTTTCTGCTCGCGCATTCTCTGGCAGAGCCGCTCTTTGGTCATCGTGCRCGGCCGCCTCTCATTTGTTGTTTGTCTCTCATCGCAGTTGGTAGTTTGTGTTGATTGCGCCGTCGTTTGTTGTCGCTACGCGTTTTCAATAATTTGTTTTCAGTGACTCCTTTAAGCCGAATGCCGTTAGTGCTACACTAATTACAATGTGCAAAACGAAATAGTACAAAATAAATTGGAAAACAAGAACAAAATATATATACATATTTCAATTTCGAGATACAAAAACAAAGTAGTGCGAGAACGGTCGATGAAAGTGGTGAAAATAAAAACGAAAATCATAGTAATTTATAGCGGTAACCGATCGCGTTCACCTGCGTCAGCAGAAKCACTTGCTCATTAGCTGCTTTC